CACGGCCTGCTAAGCAAAGCACTGAAGCTTTACATTCAGAACAAACCTGGCAGATCTAGCAGTGGGGCTCTTCACACACGCATGAAGCATTTTTCCCTGCATGTACTGAAGATATGGCAGACCGCCAGGCTAGATGTATGTGTATCATCGGTCGTCTTCTTCCCCCTTCCATCCTCGCTTCGGTATTCAAGACTGTGTGCAATTTTTGGAATACTACGTCCAGGTATAGATCTGGAACCCAATGTTGTCTCTTTGGCTGTTGTGCTCTCGGAGGCGATACTCTCCAGCATTATCTTCATTGCCCTGCGTATAAACCTCCCGTGATTGCCCTTCTGCCCCATCTCCCCTCTTCTTGGGCCATTGGTGATGTTAGCGCCTGGATGTTTGGCATCCCCCCTCCTTGTATAATATTTGTGCCTGCTCTATTGCCATTGCCATAAATTTGACTTTGTCCACGTTTAACTTGCTCAATGTTAGTGGGTTGCCGGATTCGCCTCGTGTTCGTCGCTCTCATCGGGCCCGTTCCAGGACCATAGCGGCCTGCTCGGCCAATGCTTGTCGCATCTCACAAAGAGATACTGTCTAGATTTGGGTTTTTTTTCCTACCTCAGGGTAAAGGTAGGCGGTGTTCAGGAAGACGAACATCCCCACTGAGTGCTATCTCCTCCTCCTCCTCCGCCTCCTCCTCCTCCACCTCCTCCTCCTCCTCCTCCTCCTCCTCCTCCTTCTTCTCCTCCTCCTCCTCCTCCTCCTCCTCCTCCTCCTCCCCCTCCTCCTCCCCCCCGCCCCACCCGCGCACTTCGTTCTGAGGCCCCGGGGGGGGGCCCCAGGCGGGCCTCTGCGACGGCAGGGCCCGCATCCATATGTTTCGCAGAGGCCCTCGATGGCCACACGGCCTCCTGTATAAGGGGCCGGCGTGTGGACTCGCCTCCAACGCGCTGTTCCTCGACTTTCCCCTTTCCCCTCCTGGCGCGGATGCCTTTTGGTATCGATGAACTGGCATCGCTCCTCTGTTTTTCTGTATCCAGGCGGAGCTCTTGGCGGGGGGGAGGCCCGGGTCCCTGACCTTCTACTGGGAGGACTAAACAATAGCACCAGGGCGTCGGCGTCCATTTTCCTGTCGAGGCTGTAGGCGGTCCAAGCGGGTCCTTCGCACAGGTGTGGCTGGGGCACCCAGTATGGGAGGTCTGGGGGTAGGGGGGGGGTGCCGAGGTTGGAGGTAGCTGGAGGCCTGAGGCGGTCCAGCCTTGGTTCCCGCCTGCAGGAAGGAGGGGGGGCGGTTCGAGGTCCTGGGCTCGAGGACGTTGTTGTTTGCCGTTGCCGGCCTCTTGAGGGCAGAAGTCTGGGGGCCTACCCCGTAGCGTCGCAAAAGGATGAGGACGGGAGATTCTTATTTGCTCCCAACCATCCTGTGGTGTTGGGTCCTCGCTTTGAATAAACAGCGCCCGCGTCCTTCCTTCCTCCCGCTGCCCCCCCTCCCTCTCCCCATCATCAGCATGCCCGTCACCATCATCATCGTCATCATCATCATCATCATCATCATCATCATCAGCATCAGCATCAGCATCAGCATCATCATCATCATCATCATCATCATCATCATCATCATCATCATCATCATCATCATCATCAGTTCGGCACACCCATTCACACGGTTCGTGGCCCCATAGGGAGCTCCACCGAAGGCCCCAGTGGGTGCGTTCGCATGCGTCAGCGCCACCCAATTCGGCACACCCCTCACACGGTTCGTGGCCGGATAGGGAGCACCGCCGAAGGCCCCAGTGGGTGCGTTCGCATGGCGGCTCCGCCCCATTTTGGCGCACCCTTCACACCGTTCGTGGCCCCGCAGGGAGCTCCACCGAAGGTCCCAGTGGCAAGGTTCGCATGGCGGCCCCGCCCCATTTTGGCGCACCATTCACACGGTTCGTGGCCCTACAGGGAGCTCCACCGAAGGCGCAAGTGGCAAGGTTCGCATGGCGGCCCCGCCCCATTTTGGCGCACCATTCGTGGCCCTACAGGGAGCTCCACCGAAGGCCCAAGTGGCAGGGTTCGCATGGCGGCCCCGCCCCATTTTGGCGCACCCCTCACACCATGTTGTTGTTGGCGAGACTTCAAAACGCAGGCGCCGAGGGCCGACTCACAACGACACAGTTTGGGTTCCGGCGGAAGCGGGGCACGTCCGACGCAGTGACCCCTCGCAGGCACCCGTGTGAGGGGTGCGCCAAAATGGGGCGGGGCCGCCATGCGAACCATGCCACTGGGGCCTTCGGTGGAGCTCCCTGTAGGGCCACGAACCGTGTGAATGGTGCGCCAAATGGGGCGGGGCCGCCATGCGAACCCTGCCACTGGGGCCTTCGGTGGAGCTCCTGTAGGGCCACGAACGTGCGAAGGGTGCGCCAACATGGGGCGGGGCCGCCATGCGAACCTTGCCACTGGGGCCTTCGGTGGAGCTCCCTGCGGGGCCACGAACCGTGTGAGGAGTGCGCCAAAATGGGGCGGGGCCGCCATGCGAACCCTGCCACTGGGGCCTTCGGTGGAGCTCCCTGTAGGGCCACGAACCGTGTGAATGGTGCGCCAACATGGGGCGGGGCCGCCATGCGAACCCTGCCACTGGGGCCTTCGGTGGAGCTCCCCATGGGGCCACGAACCGTGCGAGGGGTGCGCCAACATGAGGCGGGGCCGCCATGCGAACCCTGCCACTGGGGCCTTCGGTGGGGCCCTCTATGGGCCACCAGCCATCTGAGTGGTGCGCCAAAATGGGGCGGGGCCTCCATGCGAACCCTGCAACTGGGGCCTTCGGTGGAGCTCCCCATGGGGCCACGAACCGTGCGAGGGGTGCGCCAACATGGGGCGGGGCCGCCCTGCGAACCCTGCCACTGGGGCCTTCGGTGGAGCTTTCTATGGGGCCACGAACTGTGTGAGGGGTGTGCCGAGTTGGGTAGCTGTGACGCATGCGAACGCACCCACCGGGGCATTCGGTGGAGCTCCTTATGGGGCCACGACCCATGTGAGGGGTGTGCCGAATTGGGTGGCGGTGGCGCATGCGAACGCACCCACTGGGGCCTTCGGTGGAGCTCCCTATGGGGCCACGAACCGTGTGAGGGGTGTGCCGAACTGATGATGATGGTGATGGTGATGATGATGATGATGATGATGATGATGATGATGATGATGATGATGATGATGACGATGATGATGGTGACGGGCATGCTGATGATGGGGAGAGGGAGGGGGGCAGTAGGAGGAAGGAAGGACGCGGGCGCTGTCTATTCAAAACGAGGACCCAACACCACAGGATGGTTGGGAAAGATTAGAAACATGCTCAAAGATGGTCAAGAATATTCGAAACATCGCCCCCATCTTATTTTTTTGACTACGGTAGGTTCGTGTCGTGTCGGCGGCGACCCCGCCAGTGGCGTTCAACTTTGAACGCCGCGGGCGACCCAGAATCGTTCGATGTGGAACGATTTGGACGTCTCGGAGACGGCCGATCGTCCTCAAGGTTGCACGATCCCCGCAGTGTCCGGCACCAACGCCGAAGTCGGCACCACGCGAATCTGCCGCAGTTCCCCTGGCCCCCCTATAGGGGAACAAAGTGACATGACATAAAAACTCGGAGGTCCGCGCGGATTCCTCGGATCGGCGCTGGACCCCCCTCCCTGGCGCGCGGAGCGCGCCAGGGGCGGCGCCGGAGGCGCCGCCGGGGGGCCCCAGCGCCGATCCGAGACATCCGCGCGGACCTCCGAGTTGTTATGTTTATGTGCCCCTCCTTGGCCCCAGGATCGGTGCACCTGCCTCCCTGGCCAAGGCAGAGAGGGCGCATGCACCGACCCTGGACTCGGGACGGACCTGGCCAAAGTCGGTGTAGGTGCATGGCTCTTTTTCTCAGAGCGTGAATTACCTACCCCGCTTTCGCTTCCAGGAAACTCCAAGTCCTACCACGCGCCCCCTCGTCAAGCGACCTGACCAGTACAGGCCGCAGTTTGGCCTCGCTTGGTATCTCTCGGAAGCGAGGGTGGTCAAAAGCAAGGTAGGTTTGTTTTCCCCTTATTTTCCTCTGTCCTGGCCCCCCTCCTCGCCGCAGCCCCGGGGCGGCGGCGGCGGGCGCAGCGCCCTCGCCTGCCAGGCGGGGCAGGCACCGGGCGCGGGGCCGGGCGCGGCCGCGCCTCTCCGGTTCGTGGGCGCGGGGCTGGGCACCACGGCCACGCACGGGGTGCACGGGCTCTATGCGGCCCCGCGCAGAGGGGGGCAGGCAGGGCGGGTCGTAAGTCGGCCCTGTCCCTCTACAGGGGGGAGTAGTCAAAAGAGTCCAAACATAGTCTTGGGACTTTTTTTTGAGTATTGCTTTTTTGGTGCATCTTTAACTGTTTTTTTTGTAACAACAAAAAACTCCAAAATCCCCCTGTAGGGGTAGGCAGGGCTCGCTTCGATTCATCTGATTCGATCCGATTCGGCTTGGGTGGCCTCCGATTCCGATCCGATTCGACTGGGGATTCCGATTTGGGATCCGATGTCTCTTTGGAGGCATACTAGCCTGCCGATTTCTCTCGATTCGACTCTTCCTGACGCGGCTGCCGACTTCCGCTGGTCCGATGCATTTCGATCGCTGATCCGACTTGTCGATTCGAGTCTGGGCTCTCCTGGGTAGGAAGCCTTCTTAGAAGCACCCCTGCTTCGTAGACGGCGCGGGCCTCGTCTATAGATGCAGGGCCCGCGCCTTCTAAGGAGCGGCCTCTTCCTAAGAAGCCTTCCCCCCTCCCCCCTGCCCCCTTTTGCGCGCCGCCAACCTGTGTCGAGGGAGAACGCATTGCCCAAGCATAAACTTTTGGAGCTCCGCATTGGCCTCCTTGGCCCGGCGCCGGACCCCCCCACTCCCTGTCGCGCGGAGCGCGTCAAGGGGGCGGCGCCAGAGGCGCCGCCCAAGAGGGGCCTGGCGCGGATCCGAGGAATCAGCGCGGAGTTCCAATAGTTCATATTTACGTGGTTTGTTGTTCCTCGAGTATTGCAAGATGGGGCTGCCTGCAGTCCACTACTGGGATAATTGCAACGTGACGGAGGGCCAGTTGGCGAGCCACCACCGTGTCTTGCTCTGGTACAATGCGCAAGTCAAGTGCGTTTGGACGAACTCGACGCATGATCACTGCAAGGTGGCGCAGGCGATGCGAACGTTCCGCAAGTTGCTGGCCGAAGTCGTATCGTCTGGCATTGCAGCGATTTCAGACACGCCGTATTATTGCTTCTTAGATGACGTGTTGAGTTGTGCACCACACGCGCGTTTCGCGCTGACACTCCGGGATCCCGATACTTGGGCACATAAACGACTCGAGCACCATGGTGGTGATCTCGTTTGCAAGCGCGACGCGGGTTGGAACGGGTCTTGTTATGATCTCGGAGGTTGTTGTGGACCAGCCCATGAGTTCGTTCATCAGTGTTGGACGCTCAATCGAATTTATGCTGCATACCGCAATCTCTCACTGTGTCAGGGTTCCCACGAGCGTCACGTGAGAAGTCGCGTTTCGGCTGACAAGTTGACGCCAATGAACGCTTGGAGTTCCGATGATGATTTCGAGGAGTCCTTTCGGACGCATGCCCACGGCTGAGACGAGCGGGAAACGCCGATATCAAGCACCAGTCTCAGGGTGGCCCCCGCAAGAAGAAGAAAAAACATAACAGTATCCTAGACGCCGACGCCACTCCGCCGTCTCCCAGAAGAGGGGATTTGTGGGTGATGGCCTGGGTTTCTGGGACGCTCTGGGGATAGTGGGGCTGCGGACCGCGAGGATGAGCGGCCATGGTGCAAGACGGAGGGGGGTGAGGAAGAGGAAGAGGGAGGAGGAGGAGGAGGAGGAGGAGGAGGAGGAGGAGGAGGTCGAGGTCTTCGCTCCCAAGATGGAGGACACGGTCTGCAGCCTTGAGCCCCGAGCAGGAGGAGGAGGAGGAGGAGGAGGAGGAGAGTCCGCAGCTCTGAGCTCTGAGGAGGAGGAGGGGGAGGAGGAGCAGGAGAACGAGTAGGAGGAATACCACGAGCAGTAGCAGGAGCCAAGGAATTCTAGACGCGTCGCGTATCCCTACCAGCTCGACACGCCCTCTGGACTTTTCCTTGCGGGCCGCTGAACAAGAAAAAGTATCCCTACCAGCCTATCTGCTTGTTGTCCGTCAATTTTAACACAGCGCCGCATGCAATCGTGGCCGCTCTCCTTTCGTGCACCGTACTGTGGCGAAGGTCGCGAGGAGGATGCAGATGCCCTTCTGTCTCTGTGCCACTTCAATCTTCTGCCCAAGAGAGTTTCCCATGCCGAGGAGCTCCAGGAGGGCTTTGCCGCACGTTGACCCCGAGGAACTGTTACTTGTACCGCTGGTGGCTCAGTGTTGCAGTCGCGCCGGTCATCTGCATGCAACAGTTGGAACATATTCCCTCCGCTTGTCGTTGGAAGTTCTAGCTTTCATTCTCCTCCTTTGATGCAGCTCTACCGCCCGTTTGTCATCAACACGACCCATGAACACTCCAGAACAGCAGTCTGTTTGGAGCGGTTCGCAGTCACCCCGGCGCGAAGCAGCCTCGTCGTTGGCCTGGGATTCTGCAGAAGTTGCACCCACTGTGCGGGCCCCTGGCCGCCGTCATCAACCTCGTGGGGCACGCCTGGCGATGCACCTGCGCTACATGGGCGACGACTCGTCTTCACTTGTAGGGGGCTTCTCGTTGCCGTGGAGGCTTGCCGCGACGCCCAGCGCAAGCGCTCGAGTCAAGCGGCCGAGGGACATCGCTGTGACAATCATCATGCTCAGCGCATGGCGAGCGCGATACCCATTTTTGCGGGCAAAACGTGTGTCCATATCCACTGCAGCTTGGGATTTCGGGCTCCGTTCACCAGAAAGCCGAGGAGCACTGGATATGGATAAAAATCAGGCCCCTGCTAGAGGCTCGAATTCTATCCACATCCAGTGCGCCTCGGCCTTGCGCGTTTCCCAGGGCCGGGTTTTTTCTCCATCCCGCGCCGCGTGGCCGAGCGAGGGCCCCGCTGGAGTCCGAACACGGCTCTGTAAGAATCGTCGGTCGTGGTTGCGACGCCTTTGCGGCCTGCGCCTCCGACCTGGAAGGGGCACGCCGACGACGACGACGACGAGGCCGCCGCCGCCGCCGCCGCCGACGACGACGACGACGACGACGGAGGCGGCGACGGCGACGACGACGGAGGCGGCGACGCCGACGCCGACGCCGCCGCCGACGACGACGAAGACGACGGCGACGGCGAGGGCAACGGCGACGGCGGCGGCGACGGCGACGGCGAAGCTGACGCGCTTGAGCCGGAAGCTTCTCCCAGGGAGGGGTGCTCCCTCCAGTGGGGGGAGGGGGGGTCACAACCCCCGGCCGAGGCAGGCATGCTCGCGTCATGAGAAGCCACGGCGGGCGGGGTTTGGCCGTTTTCGGCCCCCGGGGGGCCCTCGGGGAACGAGTCGGGGACTTCCGGGGGCCCCTCAGCTGGTGGAAGCATCGGGACGTCGCGCGTCTGGGAATGAGGGGGCGACGGCAGAGGGCAACAGTTTGTGGGCACTCCCGCTCTCCCCCGAGTTCAAAGTTGGCACGCGTGGGGAAGCGTGCGGTCGAAGAGGAGCGCACTTGGCCCACTGCCAGCTTTGATCACTGGGGGGGAGCATTGACAGATGAGTGTGGCAGGAGTGTTTGTCCATTTCTTCCAAGGAAGGCCTGGAGCGTCAAGCCCGCACGCGCCCAGGGGGCGCGTGCGGGGGGCAGGCGGGCCCCACAGCAACCTGGACATCTTCCGGTGTGATTCCTGTGGGGGCGCAATCCAGGAGCAGCGCCTGCATCGAGCGCCTCACGTCGCGGGAGATCAGGGAACGTAGCGAAGCGGGTGGCTCAGGCCGGTCGAAAGGGCAGGATAAGGCAAGCTGGGGTTACCAAGTCTGCTGCACGCAGCTGGCTTCGGCCCCGCCGCCGGGCCCATGCCTCGACACATGGGGCGCCTCCCGGCGCCAGGAGGCGCCAGGACATCCAGCTACGTGGGCCGACTCTCTACCCTACCTTTTGCTATCCTACCCTGTCGACCCCCACACCCGCCCGCAATCCGCGCTTCCTGCAGTCTGGTCCTGCCCCGCTGGTGAGCGGGAAAGGTCGGGCGGGGCTAGGCTCAGGATAAATCCGTTCCAAGGCGTTCCCGAACGCTCTCAGAGCGTTCCGGAACGCTCTGAGAAGGCCGCGGCGCCCGAGACAATGCTCTGAGAAGGCCACGGCGCCCGAGACATCCTTCAGCGCCGCCCCTGGCGCGCTCCGCGCGCCGGGGAGGGGGGTACAGCGCAGATCCAAGAAATCCGCGAGGAGCGCCACAAGTTTATGTTTATGGTGTTTTTCTTTTGTTAACATTGGGGAGGTGATGCGGGCGCGCGCACTTCGCATGTAGATGCACTGCGGACACGCGTGCGCGGAAAGCGCGCGCACACCAGGTGAGGCCAGCACGGGCAGGCCAATGCGGCAGATCAGACTTCATGAGCCATATTGGCAGCAGCGACGCTTCCCGTGTTGGGCCGGTCAGATTTACCAGACTCAATGTTGAGTGTTCTGATGGGCTTGCTGATTTTCCATTCAGTGCCTACGGAGCGGTGGCGGATCGTCTCTTCTCCTTCTCTTTTGTTGTTCGTTTTCCCTCCTCGTCAGCCTTGCCGTCCCCTCCCCTCTTCTTCTGCCTCTCATTGCCTCCCTCCCCCATTGCCCCCCCCCCTTCCCATCCCGCTCCCCCCCTGATCCCTGGCCCATCCCCCCTCCCCCATGCCATTCCTGCTCCGCCCTTCGCTCGTCCTGCGCCTCTCCTCACGGCGTGCCGTGCGGCTGCGCCCAGCCGCGCCACAGTCAGCTGCCGTGTCTCCTCGCTCGCCGCCGCCACCCTTGCCGCCGTTGCCACCTCCGTCGCCGCCGTCGGCGCTCTCGCCGCCGCTGTCAACCTCGTCGCCGCCGTGAGCGTCGGCGCCACCGCCGTCGGCGTCGCCAGCGTCCCCCGTCGCGCCCTCGCGCCGCGGAGAGGCGGTGGCGGTGCTGGAGCGCATGAGCCTCGAGGGCCCCCGTGCGACCAGCGTGGCCTTCTGCGCAGGCCCCCTCGGCGGGGGCGGCCTCTCTCGCGCCAGCGCCTGCGCGCGAGCACCGAAGCTTGGCACCTCCAGGGGCACTCTGGGAGGCACGCGGTGGCACAGGCGCGTGTGCTTCCCACCCCTTCCCCCTCCCCTCCCCTCCCTCCCTCCCCCGCCGCGCCCCCGCCGTCTCGTCCATCGTCCGTCGCTTGTCTGTCCGTCGTGTCGCCCCTGCTGCCGCCACGGGGCTCCATTCGCGCAGGTGCATCAGAAAGTTTGCTTACCACCCGCCTGCTCTGGCGGGCCCTGCTTCGGGAGGAGGCTGAGGAGGGGCGGGGAGCGGCGGAGGACGAGGCAGGTGGCGGGAGGAAGCACGTGGGAGACGAGAAAGAGGGACATAGAGAGAGGGAGAGGGAGAGAGAGAGAGAGCAGGCGAAGGGCGTGGAAGAGTGCGGGGGGGGGGGGTGCGGCGCTGAGGGAGGAGGAAGGGAGGGAGGAGAGAGGAGGAAGGGAGGAATGAGCGAGGAGAGAGGAGGAAGGGAGCGAGGAGGGAGGAAGGCCTTCGGCACCCGCATTCCGAGGATGAGGAGGGGGAGGACAGAGAAGAAACGGACTCGACGTGGTCATTTGTTGTGCAGCCAGCGGCACCGGCACACGTGTGGTGCGCAGCCAGGAGAGCCGCTCGGGGCAGATTGCCGCAGTTCGCTTGCCAGTGGCCGAACGGGAGGTTGCTGCGCTCGATGCGGCGTCGGGCGAATCAACGTAGCTGTTGCGCCAGCCAGTCTCGCATCGCGCCAAAAAGCCCTTTCTGGGACGTCCGCCAGAAAATGATCCGAGCATGTTGTATCGGGGGTGGGCAGACCTCCTACCCTGACACGTCGATTGAGGAATTGGCCGTTTCCGCTTCGCGGGAGGGCGGCCGTCATTTTTGCGGGTCCAGGTCCGTCGGTTTCGGTCCCAGGCCGTTTTCACTAAGGGGAGGGTTACGGAAGGGAGGTCTGTCCACCGCCGATGGTAAAATCTTACGACGAAGGTGCGCGGCGCGAGGGCGAGAGCCACGCAGCGAGAGGGCCCTGAGCTCCGCCCGTGCAGCCCCCGCAGCGTTTTTTGGGGCAGATCGGCGCGGCGCGGAGGCGAGGACCACACTTTGGGAACCGACCCGGCCTCCCTCCGTGAAGCCCTTGCACAAGCGTAGGACGCATTGGCGCGGCGCTGAGGCGATAGCCACATTTTAAAAAAACAAGGCCCGCCCTCCACGCGTGAAGATCTTCTAGAATGTTCACAGCAGGTGTGCCCAGCGCTCCGGCGAGGACCATGGTTTAAAGACGGCTCGCCCTCCACCCATGAGGCTGTTGCACGTTTGCAGTTCAAGAACCGGCCTATCGACGCTCCTCGGTGTGAGACAGGAGGAAATCTTATCCACAAGAGAAACAAGTGGAGGAGGAGGAGGAGGAGGAGATGGAAGAGGTGGAGGGGGAGGAGAAGGAGGAGGAGGAGGAGGAGGAGGAGGAGGAGGAGGGGA